GTAGTCCGTCATCATCTCGCGCCGCATTACGAGCGTACATAAAAGAAAAGGAGAAACTGGCCCGACAGAGCCGCGTTAAGCATGATGATCCATCCATCCACATACCGAAGCAGAGCCGATATAAAAGTTTTTGAAAAAAGAGCAAATAACTGACTTTGAAAACCCCAATCGCTCCTCGCTGTACACACTAATTCAAGAAGATGATGAAAAAAAAAAAGCCCGGCATCCTGTAGTTCTGCTCGGGAGCTAACAATGCTCAACCGGGTCCCTGCAAGAGAGAGAGAGAGAGAGAGAGAGAGACGGCAGCGATGTACTGTAACATGTCGAAGAACCATCCAGAAAGACGAAGCCGGCCACCCGCCCCTTGCGTTATAAATGAACTTTGGACATAGGAGATGCGCATCTTGTTTGTGGTGCGTTTCGTGGATTTGCTTTTTTGGTCAGACAGCCTTTCCCATAGTCCCGTGCTTTTCCAATCAATCGGTTGGAGTGCAAAATGTGCGTGCGCCGGGGTCATAATCATATATAGAAAGGAACAACATGAGAGAACCAGAAGGAAAGACGACGCGGACAGACTGCGCCGCTGTCGACGGTTCGTTCGTTTCGTGTGTTTTCGTTTTGAGGGGGGCGGGGCGGGGAGGGTATAAAAATGCCAGATGAACAGCAAAAGGTGAAAATGTGCCACACCCCTAAGCGATTGATAGTACAGGAGAGACATGGGGAAAGGAAAAAGGGACGAGACGATAAGATGCAGTTAGCCAAACGACGACTTCTGAGCAGGCTCAGATGGAACCCTTTCGGTCGCCCGTGCCGCGGTAGGACTGAGGGTACGGGGCGGCGCGGTAGCGTTCCCTCTCCCGGGGAGGCTGGGCGACGCGGCGGCCGGGTAGGGAGGACCGGCGGTCGAACGAGGCCACGGGCATGGGCATGGGAGACAGGACGACGGGGTGGCGGCTGCGAGGCGAAGGGCGAAGAGTGGAAGGGGTGGGCGTCGTCGTCGACACGATGCCCGGGGCTGAGGCGGTCGTGGCCATGGCGACCGACCCGGGGAGCAGGTAGTGGCCGCGGGGGTTGGGGTCGGCAGCCGGACCCAGGTACGGTGAGGAGTGCGCCGAGATGGACTGGACGGCAGGGTAAGCCGCAGACATGGCAGGGTCCACGATCGTGGGCACGGAGGCGCCAGCCCAGTTGGGCTGGGGGAAGTCGATGGGAGATGGACCTCCCGACGACGCCGGCATCATGTCTTGGCCCGGCATCATGACCACGGGCTGAGGTTCCGAAGGCGCCGGAGCCACGGTGGGGTTCATCATCCTGGGGGGCGACGGCAACCACATCTTCGGCGAACTGGCGCAGCAGTCTTTGATGCTCACGGTTGATTGGCCATGCCATTCGCAGGGTGGGCGGTCTGCGGCGCTACAGTTCTTGGGCGCTGCGCCGCCGACGAGGACGTTGCAGACGGTTGTGTCTGGGTGCTGGTGGCTGGTTCGGAGACCTTGGCAGGCTCTACCATGTCAGGGAAGACCTCGCCGAGGTACTCGATGTAACCAGCCAAGCTCTGCACCTGCTGGTTCAGTGCCCTTCGGTCTTGTTGGGGCAGTCCGTTGCCGGCAAGGGCCGTCTGGCGAATGCTCTGCACGGAGGCGATGATCTTCTCGACCTCACCGCGGAGTCTCTGCTCCGTGAGGTTGAAAGAAGGCATCGAACCAGGCCGAAGCGTACCGAGAACCCGCAGCGTCTCCGCCGTGGCAGTTCGGATCACCTCGAGGGACTCTGAGACAGAAGGAGATGCAGACTGCTCAGGAGACAGGACCTCGTCCTGCTGCTCGCGCTGACGCACGTCGAGGACATCAATGTGAGGCTGTGTTTGCCGCGTGAAAAAGTCGACGATGAGCTCCGGTCGGAAGGCTGGAGCGGAGGACTGCTGGCTCGGAGATCGACGGAAGTTGACAGGCGCTGCTTGAGGGACGGGCGTCCTACCGTTGCCGGGTCGGGAAGATTGTTGCTGAGCCCAGACGGTGACATGGGGAGGCTGGGGAGGAGCTGTCAAGCCGACGGTCTGGCGCTCCTGTGTTCGGTGGAAGGCAGGCGTGTTGCTCGCCATGCTGTACGCGCCGAAGGTCTCGGCACGTCTGTCATCGAAGCGCTGGATGGTAACAGGCTCGTAGTGGCTAGTGGTCATGTAGTGGCCGTTTTCTGACAGTGTAGGAAGAGGCATCGGCGTCATGTGTGCTCGTGGGACAGTCTCTTGGTTGACGGGAGGAGGCATTGTCGCCTGATCCGAAGACTGCACGCCTTGGTAAACCTCCGCTGACTGGTACGATGGCACTCCTGTGGTGGCTTGTGAGACCACGAAGCATCATCGGTGGCTGCTTCGTAACGCTGCTGCGGGTGGTTTATGCCCGTGTGCTCAGGGTCGTCGGAGCTGGGAAGATACATGTAGTTAACTTGAAAGTCGGTTGCCGCACTCTGACAGACGACGGGGATGGATTTGTCACTGGCGGTGGTATACCCCTATTTGGCCTACGCTGGGACCGAGGTACGAACTCGCCATGAAGCCGGCACTGGGTCGATCACCCATTGTGGTTGTTGTCACGGACACGGCCTGAGCGGCGTGCTTGATGACGCTCTGCTGCTCTGCAAAGGTTGGGAGGGGGATGGCATCATAACGTGTCGGGGAGCCGGGCTCAGATGAGACAAGGTAGGGGTTGGGCTGGGACGAATTAGTATGCGCGCCCGCAGAAGTTGACTCTGAGATGAGGGCTACTCACGCCGCGGGAGTACTCGTCGCCGGGGAAGCACATCGGGTCCTGACCATCCTTGTTGTGAGATGGACAGCCAACATCGACGGCAGAATCACGCCTCGGGCCTCCAATCTGGTCAATACTCGATGCAGGCGTGGTCGGGCTACTAATGCACGAGTTGGTAGTCCCCATGGAGAGACCACCCTCGGAGAGACCATCTGAATCTTGGCATGGCCAAGCCGAGAGCAGGTCGTTCATGTCTCGGGCAGGCCAGTCAGAAAGCAAACTGTTCCACTGATATGTGAAAAAGGCTTGTCGCTCGGGCTCCTCCAGGCGCTGAGCCCACGTCGAAATGTCGTCTTCGGTAACGATGGTGTGTGTGACTTGGTGGCCTGAGCCGAGCAGGACCTTGATGGCTCGGTTGGCGAGAGAAGGCATCGGGTCGCCGGGTTGGTGGTGGGTGATGCGACGTCCATATATCGTGAACAGCGTCACGCCGGCTGGGCGGCTTTCGCTGTGTGTCGGCACCCAGCAGACGGCCGAGACAGGAACGACAATGGCCTGGTTGGTCTGGTGGTTCAAGACGTGCACCTCGTTGTTGCAGCTGTCGTTGCGGCCGTCATCGAAGATGGTGACCTGATCGCCACGGCGGAAGACGATGCCGTCAGGGGACTGGCCTTCATGGGCCAGGATCCCGTGAAGAGTATTCATGACGGTAAAAGAAAGGGAATATGGTCCAGGCGAAACAAGGCTTCCCGCGCGTTGGTTCGCTCAGAGAATGAGAGTCGAGGAGTGTTATCACTTGGACAGATGGGAAGCAAGGGAAGGGGGAGACGAGGAAGGGGTTCATATAAGCAAGGTGAATAGATCAGAGACGGGGATAGGATGAGAAGGATCAGTAATGCTGGATGAACACGGAGGTGCAATGAAACTCCAGCTCGCCAATGAAGTTGAGCGGCCCGTCTTGTGGTAGTCGTGGGCAAGAAGCAAATCACTCTCACTTTATGGACGAGACGAAGCGTTCTCATCATGGGCGGCCCCGCCAGGTTGGACCAGGATATTCGACCCTGGACTGGAACTGTTGGAAGTGATGGTTGCGCCTTGACCTCCACCCATCCTCGCCTGGCCAGGGCTGGAACCGAGAGCCAGCAGCTAGAAGAGGGGGAAAAGACGAGGTGGTAGACGAGAGGTACCCATCATGACCATGTCCCTGTATGCCCAGACAGCGCTACTGATCAAGGGCCAGCGGACAGACTCCCGTTCCCCTAGCCACATTAGCTTGGCGATCGTCCAGGGCGATGCAGGACAAGAGTGGCGCTGCTGTCGACAGTGGGCTGTCGTGTTTGGGACCCTGTGTTTTCGACCCCGGTCGTGCGTCATGCGTTCAGCCCGAGTGTATCTTTCGGACAGGTCAACTTGCAGACGCAGTACGCTTTCACCCTTCTCGTCCCTCCCCATGACGAGGCCGCCAGGTGACTGGCTCATTGTGCCTGTAGGCCATGTCTCGGCTTGGGAAACCCTGATACTGTGTCAGGGCCTGTGAGGCTGGAAACTGGCTTGGAGGCATGCGCAGCTTGGAAACCAAAGGCACCGGTGACGGCAGCCACATTAAGGCACCCGTCGAGGGGGGCGCTCTCCCGTCTTGCCCATGTAACGGGTGGCAGTAGGCTCCCCCGGGGAAGCATGCCCGTCCGTTTCGTACTGGGCCGGTGGCATCCAGTCGGAGAAAAAAGCAACGGGCATACTGTACATGTACACACACATCATCACAGGGGTACGCCCAAGGCGGAAAGGTGACGCCGTTGGCTGGCGCAGAGGCCCAGTCGCTGTGAAAAAAAAAAATGCCGTCAAGCTGTGGCAGATATCGGCTAGAGCAAACAGCCACTGGTGGGGGAAGGGGAAGGGGTGCAGAGAAAGAGAGAGGACCAAGCAGCAGTGATGTTTCTGCGTGCCGGTTCGGCCATCGAGCCAAGCGGCCCCTGCAACGGAGATAAGCACGATCCTCCATCTGGACCAGGAAAAGACCAGGGCCCCGGAGGAGACAGGGTAAGGGGGGTGGTGGCCCAGGAGGCCTGCAGCAGAGAGAGACATACACACCAGCGCATGGCTAGCGTCCGAAAACCATCGGATGGACAAGGTCCATCGATCGCTGGAGAACTGGTTGCTCTTGGATATGTACGTATTTTTATGTTCCTGTGCCTGTCCCGATTCAACGGGTCTGTAGAGATCCGGTTGGCGGCTCGACCGATGTGTTGGTTTCCTGGATTCTGATCCCTGGCTTTGATCTGACGGCACACGCACATAGTCCTGTTTTTGGAGCCAGTGGGCCAGGCTCACCTCTGGGCGCATGAACGTTGGGTGAGGCTGAACACTGCGAGCCTGGGGGCCGATGGTGGCTTCAATACATGGGTTGTTTTTCTTGGTTTGTTATACAGAGATGTCATCCTCGCCAGTCCACTCGTCTCCTGGGCTGTGTTTATTCCGCAGCAATATGTGTTGGTTTTTATGCACGTACAGAGCCCACCACTTCTCCTATTTGTGTGTGTGTGTGTGTGTGTGTGAGGGGGGGGGGGGTATTGATCGTTCCGTTTCTGGTCGCTGCCGGCGTCGCCACCGTTCTCAGTCCTTCTTTTCTGATGAGCTCGGCTTGCCCTGGCTGCTGTTCTCTTCTGCCGCTGGGGTCTGGCCGAGCTTCGTCAGCACACGAGTTGCCCATTCCTCAAACTCGCGCTCAGCAGCCTCGTCCGTCTTGCCTGCCTCGCCTCTGATGGTCCGCCGCGCCTTTTCTCGCAAGTCATCGACAGAGGATACGTCAAAGGCCCAGGCAATGCCGCCCGTGGCCATGACGCCAAAGCTAAAGACGTTGAGTGTCGCGAGGTTGAGGGCTTCCAGCGCAATCAGGGAGCCCTCGGGGTTTTCCTGCTTCCCAGCGGCGGCGTGGCTGGGTTGGTAGAATTTGGGGAAGGCAGCGAGCTTCTTGCGGGTGACGGCACGTTTCGTGATGAGGGTCGAGCAGACGAGGAAGCTTGCGCCCGCAAAGAACAACCCGAGCTGTTTCAGTCCCCTTGGAGAGAAGGGTCCATTGTCGATGTGGGCCGGTGAGGGGCGCGCCACGGAGGGCGTGGTGGAGGGGGAGAGGGAGGAGGAGGGCGTGGACGGTGGTCCCGAATCGTTGGCCATGGCTACTGGGGGGCCTGCAGCGAGCATCGGATGCCTGTGGCAGCCGAGATCGAGTCAGCAGTGGACTCACCACCTGAGATAAAAGAAAAACAGGAGGGGCCAAAGGGGAAGGATGTCAGATCGGGGAGAGAGAGAGGGGGGGGGAGAGGCGGGAAAGGGTACGAACCGAGTTGAGGAGCGCAGAGCTCACAGGATGGGAGGAGGTGGGACTCGACGCTGGTCAGTCGCGAACGCGGAAGAGTCGATGGAGAATGGGAGAGAGAGAGAGATGGAGTGTGGTTGTGAGACGCGCTGCCTCTAAATGCATAGGCTCGACAGTAGTCCGGCTTTCAGCGATATGCATTGGCTTATCCGGTGTGCGGGCTGGGCCGTGGCTGTTTCCTCAATAGCGCAATGTGGAGAGAGAGAGGGGGGATCCAGTGCACCACCCTTACTCGCTCTGACAACCTCGTCCATCCCAGTTATCCCAGCTTGACACGGTTCATCGCGGGGACCCGACTCCTCCATCGTTGGTCGGATCGTGTTTAGCCCACCGTGGCTGCGCTAACACCCCTGTTGAACGGACACCTCGAGTCTTCCCACCCCAATCGTGTCGGAGCATTTGCAACAAGAAGCCCGTCCGTTGACGCAAGGACTGGGTAACCCTGCCGCTACCTTGTTGCGTCAAGCGGCTCACTGTCACGAGGCCCTCCCTTTCTCCTCCATCAGTTCAAAGAAACGCGATGAACGCTGGGCTGGGCTGGACTGGCCTATCCCCAATTCAGGGCCTTTTTGATCGATAAAGCCAAACAGAGCGAAACGGCGCGTCTCGAGCAGGAGCATCTTCTCCGGCAAGGCAGCGCTCATGGGCGTGTCGAGAATGGTTTTGCATGCTGCGAGAGTTCGTCCAGAGCTGACCTACGACTTGTCTCCTGACTCGTCTCGCCTGAACTCGCACAACTCTAGTGCCAGACCTCCGAGGTTTGCAGATGCACCCTGTCCCTCCGTCCATTCATCTCATGGAGATTGTGACGAGATGCATATCCAGTCCAGCTGAGAGATTTTCAAGCAAGAACGAGAAAGAAAGAAAAAGCTGCAAGAGGAGACAGGAAGCCAAGACGCTGTGCCACAACCAACACCCCGCCTCGCGTCCCCCGTGTTCTGAACCAAGTATCCGCAGCACACGAAGGATCCTTCATGCAAGCCGTGTCGGCTGACGAGATGGCTCGGCCTCCCTCCTGGACTGCTGTCCGGGTAACTGGTAAGAACGCGACTGCACCATCGGCGTCATCGCTATCGGTTATCTGGTTCGGCTGAAGTTAAAGCCTGGCTGGCACACAGGCCATCCATCCTACCACATCGAAACCGTCCCAACTCTTTGAGGCGATGCACAGCCGCGAATCTCGCAGCGCGATCGTCGACATGGATCTTGCGAGAGGCACACATCGAACGCAATGGCCACTCGTATGCACGTACATGCAATAAACTGGAAACTTCAGACCTGCCAAGAGGGAGGACGGGACAATACGGCCAGGGCCGTTCGGCTACATTTCTCGATGCAGAGCAAAAAAGCGAACGGCACGATCATGACTCGACATCACAGTCTGGCTCGCCGCGACGAAGCACGTCAAGATGTGATAGCGTTTCCATCTCCTTCTTGTTTCTGCCTTTGCGCACGAGCGGAGCTGGAGTGTGTGCATGTGTGATGACAACGACACCAAGTCTGTCTAAAGTTGGTATATCACTTTTCACTTTATTGTGACCTGGTGACGGACTGAACTTCGCTTCAGGTGATTGGATGGACTGGGGTTCTGACTTTGCATGGCCCTGCACAGAATTATTGGACCGTCGGCGATAATGCCATGAGTTGATTTCTGACAACACTTGTTTGTGCCGTCCAGGACGGAACACCAAGTAGCCGGGACAATTGTCATTCCTTTGTCCTCGAGCAGACTTTTCTCCGTTCTTTTTGGCCGCTTGTTCACTCAGCTCGACGACCCTGGGCATTGGGACCGATCGACACAACGTTGTACTGCAGGAGAGAGCATGCATGTCGCCAGACACGTGCTGTGCACGGTGCTGTTGCCTCGCTTGTGGTGGTCGATTATGAACAGCATCAAGAACGTCAGCAACCGGCCACAGAACATGCTCGACAATGACTGACAAGCACGTCCATCGTGGCTTCTGTCACCGAGACCGTGGAAATCCAGAGAGGACGACCTCGGCCGGCCATAAGACGGGCTTTGACACCTAGGCGGCCGCTATTTTAGCCTCAACAGCGTGACGGTCAAAAGGTTGTTTCGAGGTAAGGGAGAGTAGACTGCCTTATGCCTTGCCATGACGAGGCCATGGTTGTGCATTCCAGCGTGCTATGAACAGGGGGCAAGACAGCGGGAACAGCGGCGGCTGATGAACTTTCGCGGGGACCCACGAGCTACCGTTGATCAGGCATGGTCATGTCCCAGTTAGCCTCGTACTTACCTTGCTGTACCTTACCTGAGGTGCAGTACAGTGTGGTCGTCCACCCCTGTGCGCGGGACGGGTCGGCTTGGCACAATCCTGGACACCCTTGGTGATCCTCTGTGTGGTGTCCCCCCCTCTCTCCACTGGCCCACCTAACTTTAGGTACATGGTAGGTAGCTGGGTACGGCCGCTGAGATTCAGTCAGTCCTCACACGTCAATATTCACCCAGCATTCAGCCGGTCGCTCGGTTGCAACTCGGGCGTTATCTTCACGAGCTGTCAGAATCGTCGGGGAATCGGACTCGAGACTATCCTCGACGCTAGTGAGTTGCGCAAGCGACTACAGCTCCTCCGCCTGGCTCCACGTCAATCACAAAGCCATCAGCTCTGGGCACATTTGAATAACCCGAAACAACTCGAGCACACTTATCATCACCATGGGGCTCACTCGAGCTTTCGTCCCAGCAGAGGCCACGTCATAAAACCGTTGAGCACGCCAACGGCAAGGCTAGCGACTAGTTCGGGCGCGGTGCATCTGTCGCATAAACCCCCTTTCCTGCAGGTTCTGCGAGGTCTTTTTCCCACAAAGTGCACACACGGATGACTTCCGCGGCCCGCCTACTGTGGGCTCAGTAGGCACCTCGACGTCTTCGGACAACTGCACCTGCACAGTGTCCCGGTAACTGACAGGGCCTTACCCCTTCCATCCTAGCACCCCAGACCTGGAGGGAGGCCAGGAACCCAGGAAGGGGAAAGGCCAGCCGTTTTTTTTCGCTTCCCGCATCTTTGGTCTTGCTCGTACTCTCTCACACGGATCGGGAGATTGACCTTCGTACATCGCCATCAGCTGCGCCGACCGAGCCAGCCGCGGACACACACCCTGACGCTCATTCCCCGTCCCAGACACGCCCTCCGACCTCCTGGCCTGTGTCGTGAGCGAGACCATGCCCAAGGCGAAGACGCCAGCCAGCCCCGGCGTGCCAGGCAAAGTGAAGAAGAAGGGCCAGGGTCAAGCCATTCAGACAGCCGCGTCCATGTCCACATCAACGTCCTCGCCCGCATCCACGGCGGCCACGGCGAGCTCCAAAGCCCCACCGCCTGCCTGGCCTCCGTTCAAGCCAGCCTTGCCTGTGACGGACCTGCTCCCTGAGCCTCTCGAGCAGTGCCCCGACAAGGTCGTGCTGCTGCCCAATTTCTGGCCCAAGTCCCTCTGCAACACCTTTGTTGCCTTTCTACGGGGCCTGGCGCTCGAGACAACGCCCGGTGGCCGGCCCAAGCGAAACATGGCCGCTCGCGTCAACGACCGCTTCCAGGTTGACGATCCTGCCTTTGCCCGTCGTCTCTGGCTTGGTACCGGCCTTCGTGACGCCCTGCAGCGGGAAGATGTCAGAGCCCTCTGGTCAGTCGAACCCGTTTTCTCCTCCCCGTTCCTTTTTTCCAGAAGTCATCAGCATCCTCAAATATGTGGTATCACACACCTCGATGCCGTCATGCTCGCGTTCCTCCACTTCCCCCACGCTGCCGCTGCCGCAGCTGCACGGGGTGCCACCAGTCAGCCTTGGACTGGCCGCGCCCTCCAAAGGACATGGGTTTCGCCATCGACGGTATCCAACACATGCTCGGCATCGGCATCGCTCCCAACCCGAGACTCCATCGGGCCTGTTGACGAGAAAATCCTTGCTGATCAGTTGCATATTGTGCCACAGGGGTGGTGACGTTGTTGGGCTCAACTCCAACATTCGCGTCTATCGCTACACGAAAGGACAGTATTTTGACGCTCATTGTAAGTATAGTACCTCGCTCGTGTCTCACTTGACTCCCCATGGTGCTGTCATTTATGCACGCCATGTCCCGTTTAAGACGATCCCGAGCGGCACGCCGCCCGTCCGCCACGAGAAGAACACGATGACGACGACCCATGCCACGAGGGGCATGATGGGCACGATGGCTGTTATCGGGGGTCGCGTCAGGCTCAGGGTCGGAGCCGGGCTTGCCCTCCGCAAGTACGGGCAAGCGCCGCAGTGACGGTTCAGCACAGCTGAAGGGCCGGTCCGGCTGTGATCGAGCCGGGTCAATGGTGCTTGAGGTCTCCGCTTGTCGCGACCGTCGCCTGACTAGGCGGGCTCAAGCGGCCAAAAACCCAGAAGCGAGCTCCCCGACCATCTGAGATCTGATTGTTCGACCGACTAGTCCGCTGGCTCCCCACCACGAAGTCGGCCGAGTCACCGATCTCAAACCCCTGTCATGTTGATTGTCCAGCGAAACTCTCCCCCAACAATCTCCGATGCAACCAGAGGAGCGGTAGGGAGCTCAATCCGAGAGGGCCGATCCCTCGCCATCATTGGTTCTGCGTACCCAAGCCTTCATTCCAGCGATCGAACGCCAGACACCCAGTACCGAGAGGCCTTCACACCAAGACACTCAGAGCCTCCACCCACCCACACACACACACACAATCCACATATCGTCAACCCACTCATTGCACGCAGCCTCATACCTTTCAGCTTCTCAAGGATGTCGCTCTCATTGTGATGAACGATGACAAGGCTCGCTCCGCCGTGATTTCTAGCCCATCAGCTAACAAACTTTGTCCCTGTCAGATGATGATTCGAATAATGTTGTGGTCCCCGCCGAAGACCCTTCGCTACCCCCCATTCCCTGCATCACCACCTGGACTCTGCTACTCTACCTGACGACCAGCTCCGACTCTGAGTCGGCGGGCTGCATCGGCGGCGAGACTGTCTTCTTCCCACACGATCGACGGGTACCGTCTGAGGAAATATCGGTACCGCCCTTGTCCGGGCTGCTGCTGCTGCACAAGCACGGCAAAGACTGCATGCTGGTGCGTCGTTTGCTTCTTCCCCCCCCCCTCTCCCTCATTGCATTTACATGCCTCCTATTCTCACTTGTTTGCTCGCGCGGCGCCGTCAAGTACAAGGTCTGGACCGGCGCCTGCGGCAGGTCGTCCCGTCCCGCGCCTAGACTCCTCCAGCCAGCACACCAGGTACCACGCCTCGGTCGACTATCGTGCCCTCACGCGGTGTTACGACCTAAAGAAGAACCTTTGGCGCGGTCGAGAACACGCATTTCTAGCAGTGTCTCGTGTGTGCCGTGTTTCGCAAGCGCACCACTCTCCTCATAAGAAGCGTGCGGTGGGTGTGGCTGTGGGTGCGGGCATGCGAGTGCGGGCATGCGAGTGGCTGTCTCGTGAAGTTCGTGCAGGTCATAATTACGCTGGTCTCGTGAAGCCACGCTGGCTAGCCGCCCTAGTCAACTCATTTTGACACTTTTGGTTATCCTCCTTTCCCGGTTTGCCCTTCCCTCCTACCTTTCTGGCTTCTGGAAAAAGAAACGACAGATTCCTCTGAATCGATCCCATATGACTCCTCGACAACCATGCCTACCCCACCCCCGGCCCCCGTTGTCTCTCGGCTCGCCGCCACCTCTTGTGTTTTCTTTCTTTCTTCCGTTTTGGCCTGCCTCTCACACACAAGCTGCCCTACCCCTCACTGCTCCTCACACTCTGAATGGTTTGCAGAACGAGAAGACGAGAAGGGGGCGAGACAGAAAAGAAACAATCGGCGGGCCCCAAGACAGACCAGGAGCGAAGCTGCCCTGCTGCAGAGCACCGGATGCTGGCTCCGGCTCCCCCACCCCTCCGTCTCTTCTTCGTTCCCTTTGCTGCCAAGTCTTTGCTTCATCTAACCTTTCTCCTCGCCTCTCGGCTCCCGCCACGCCCCCTCCCCCCCCCGGCCCTAAACTCTTGAGACTGACGAACGCGGGTACCTTGCGTACTACAGCACGAAGGGCGCCAGGTTACTGCAGGCGAGAAGTGGATTTTGCGGACCGACATTTGCGTTCGGAGGTGATGAAGACTTTGCAGAGTACTGCGATGCACAGGCAAAGGAAGGAAAAGGGGGGGAGAAAACAGAAAACACGACGAATGAGAGAAAAGACCACGAGAGCGTGGACTGCTGCATGCAGGCTACGGCCGACCGTTTGTTTCCTCCCCCCTTCGCTTTTGCACTATTTGTTTGATCTGCCTGAGACCTGCGAGGGCCGGCGTGGGAGCGCACCGCGAGGCTCCGGGGAGGGATGCTGTAGAGGATGCTCCACGACCGAGATGTAATCATTTGTTGTTTATTGCTAAGCTACCACCGGGCTTCGTGTTACACGTGCATTGCTTCCCCGTTGCTCAGCTGCCGCCCATGAGCCTGTCAAACCGCTCAAAGAGGTTGCCCCCTTCCTCATCGTCGTCGTCGCTAGCGCTGCTGTAGTCGAGCTGCTCGACAGCCTCGACCGTCTCGACAGTCCGCGGCATCGCCGGATATGTCTCGTCAGGGGGCTTCTGGGTTTGTGCGGCCTCCGCGACTTGCCCTGCTGCTGCATCTTGCCTCACCGGCCTCAGGATAGGGGTTGCGTGGCGACGCGGCGGCGTCCGGCCGACGGGCTCGTGCGGGCGTGTCTCCTGGGCCGAGGAGGGCTGCGCGTTCCAGCGCATCTTCTGCATGTTGAAGATGGCAGCGAAGGGGTCTAGCTTGTCGCCGCTCTCCTGGAGCTCAGCCTGCTGTTCGTCCGTCTTCTTCATCTTCTGCTCCTTCACTGCTGGCGTGTCGGATGGCTTGTCCACCTTTCGATCGTGCGCGGTGCCCTCCTTTCTGTAGTGTTCGGTGCTGCCGTGGCCTTGAGATGGTTCGTCGGTGACTGCCACCCCTGCGTCGTCCTGTGCGGAGACTTTGTTTGTAGCTGCAGTGGCCTGTGTCTCTTCAAGAGACGGCGGCGCGTAGACCGTCCCATCGTCATGGGCGCCTTCGTCCTCGTCCTCGGAATCACGGTCGAACTGTGGGAGGAGCTGGCCGCGATGGGACAAGACGTCTGTCCGGAAACATGAAAAAATCCATTTTTCTGTGAGATGATGCTCTTCGGCACCTGGAATCTCCCCCGATCGCTTCCACGTCCTCATAGTCAGGCACGGGTAGGTGGCCGCTCGGCTTGGTCTGCGACACCTCCCTCCTGCCGGTTGAACGTGCCCAGCGCGGTGGATGTAGGTCGAACGCCGGTATCCGTGAACAACGTCGGCGCCTCGTCTTTGCGTCGTCCGTCGCGATGCGGGCCGGAGGACCCAGTGGTAGATCCAACGGAAACGTAATGAGGAGGGCATGCCCCCTTCATGTTCCCTTCTTCCCGGCTGGGCAGAGCCTCCGGGTCGCCAGCAACACGCGCCCTTCGCGGCGGCGGTGCAGCGCGATGCTGACCTCCTCGGGCCGTGACCTGATACATGGCCGCGACAAACGGTGCGACCTTGTCGTAGCCGCTGCCGCCGACGAGGGCGTGCACCTCGTCGCGAAAGGACTGCTTCAAGAGACCGGCATCGCGGCCAATGTCTTCCGAGTGCTTGTAGGCGTTGCCGACGCGCGGTCGGGACAGCGGGAATCCGGTCCAGATCTCAAATTCGGTCGACACCTCGCGCTGGGCCATGAGGCGCCGCATGGCCGTGTCGTAGGTCGACTTGAGGCGGCGCGCCTGCTTGAGGACCGCATTGTCGATTGGCGCAAAGCGCGTGAGGATGCGGCGGTCAAACTTCTTCTCGTACAGCGGGTTGAACGGCACGTCCTGGATCCTGTCGTAGATCTGTCCGAGGGCCGTGTACGAGTGGTAGATGGAGTTCTTGTTGCGGCGTCCGCCCATGAAATGGGGCCATCTGCGAGCTCGAAGTTCGCGGCCGAGCTCGGCTGGATCGCCTGACTTGACGTAGTCCACGGCTTTGGAATGGAGTTTGGCAAGCTGCAGGCCTGTCAAGATGTCAGCTCTGAAAGCGAAACATTCAGAAGAATGGGGGAGACTACCGACATTTGGTGTGCATAGCGCCTCCTTCTAGGTAGTCTGCGCTGGCCAAGTGCGACGTTGCGATGAGGGGCAGGCAGTCATTGCGCATATACTTGACGAAGAACTCACTGAGGTCTTTTGTATTGACGTCCCGATCAAGGACCTTTGTTTGCGGCGCCGCGTTGTCCATCGGCCGAAAGTTCCACACCGGAGGGATCAAGTCGGGATCCCAGATGACGAAGAAGTCGTCGCCATCCAGGTCGCCTCCAGAGAGCATGCTTGGAACGTCGACATCGCCCGTGCTCGGAAAGACGACTACGTTCTTCATGTGACGCAGCTGGGGCACGTCGACGGCCTCAACAACGCGAATGTCTCCTGGATGCAGTGAAGGGTTGCGGCCGACAATGCACACGCCTTTGATGACGTTGAAGAAATGTCGATCGTCAGGATCTGGAATTTGAAGAAAGATCTGAGGCAGTAGTTCCACGTTTCTCGACGTGGTCTGACCTTCGCTCGCCCTGTTATGGCCTCGCAAGGTTGCCGTCTCATCGACGCAGCCGAGGACGAAAGCACCCTTGTCAACCACGATGCGTGCCTTGTCCCGTAGTAGCTTCATGGACCACACCCGCCAGAGTTGCAAAATGGTGAGGACGAAGGGCTCTTGGACATCATGGCGCATGAACCCCCAGTTGATCAGGTCTCTGAGCGCCAGCGATGTGTGGTTCTCGTCAATGTGACGGCCGAGGAGAACCGCAGCGGCACCCTGGTCATTCATGGCCTTCTCGTAGCTATGGAGCTGTCTTTGAAGCAAGTCCATAAAGACCTCTGACTTGATGCCCAGGGATGTGAGGATCGTAATGGTCTGGCGGTTCAGAGTGGCCGCGGAGAACCGCGCGCAGCGAATTATCTCGAGACCGTTGAAAGTCGCCTTGAACTTCTCCTGCGATTTCCGAATGTGCACATACATACCCTTGGCCTCGGGCCATACGGCAAGAACGCCTTTGCAGCCGCCCATGCGAAACTGAAAAGCCGATGGCGTCTCGACTGTCTCGAGGCCCATCTCTTCTAGTACCATGCTGGCGAGGAAAGAGGAGATCTTGCCGACGCCATCTGTAAAACAATGGCCGTTTCTTTCAATGTCGGGGATGATCTGGATATTGGGGGCCCGAATGCTGCGAATCTCGCGCGTTGTAGAGAAACACTGTCCCAGTCTGGCTGCGAATTTGGCAACGATGTGTATGTGATTGAAATTCCCCATCCATTGACGCATCTCGGTGCACTTGAGATGGACAGTCTCGCAGAAAAAGTAGGCACCGCATTCTCTGATCTGAGAATTGCCAAACGCCAGAAACTTGTAGTGGCGGTCGCCGATGCGGATGCCGTTAATCATGGTTAGATAGACCCTCTTGAACACATAGTGGTCCAGCTCCATCTTGGCTCGCGTGCTGATTCTGCCTCGCGTGAGCTCGTCCGTGAACTGGACGCGGAGAAAGCGGTCAGAGACGTGCTGGTACTTTCGTATCACGCGATTGCTGGCTTCGACCCCAGGAGAGCTCAGGTAGATGGTCGTGGGCGTGACGACGACTTTTCGGACAATGGCGCAGTAGTGAGGCACCACCGGGTTGGGGTAGTAGCAGTTGGCTTCATGACTCTCAAAGATGTCCATCGGCTGCTCGACGGCCTTGCCTCGGTCAGCAAAGTATTCCAGTATCCATTTGGCGCGGTCCTGTTGGAGACCTCGCAGACGATCTAGAAACTCTTGCGACAGCTTGTATTCGCAGAGGACGCCACGAGAGATGCAAACCTCGAGTTGATACTGCACGGGAAAGTCAAAGAATCTCGCCGTGGGCGAAGAAGTGGCATTTGAATGCATCAAGGAAAGCCAATCATCGTTTGGATCTGGCTTGGAAGTCTTGACGGGCTTGTTTCGAACTGCTTGGTTCTCAGACGGGATGAGGCACGGCTGATCTGGGAGTTCTGAGCTCTTATCAAGGCGCGTGAGCTCGATATTGAGGTCTTCAAGTGCCCCTGTAAGATTGCGAAGGTCTTGGCCAGGAGCGTCAAGCCTCATGCGGAACGTCGTCCAGCGGCCAATGTCGACGAAACTCAGGTCATCCCACTGGTTAAGGAGGCCGAGGCTGTAGTCCTGGGGGAGGTCGTTGTCGTCGAGGACATGGGAGGCGCGCACCCACTGGTCGTTCTCGGTCCACAAGAGCCTGTCGGCTTCAAAACTGCGAGCAATATCTTTGTTCTTGAAGTAGTACGCTGGCGGATAGCGAAGGGGTATCGTGAGATGAAAATCGCCATTTCCAAGATCGACGAGCGACGCACGCCTCATATGAGCGAGGTCAATCAAAATCTTGTATTCACGGATGGCGTTGTCGGAAGAATCCTCTCCAAAGACTTGGCCCAACTCGGCGTCTGGCGTTACGGAGATGGGGAAGTAAATTGCGAGGGTTTTGTTTCGAAAGTCGGCCTTCAGCCTGATACACTTGGAGTCGCTGCCCTGGCCTTGGGAAACCACTTGTTTCTTGGGCATGATCTCAGGCCCTTTACCCGTAGGACCGAACTCCAGCGTCTTGATGTCCAAGGTCATCCTTGCCGGATAGAACAGCCTCGAGTTGACCGTGCTACGAATGGCCCCAAAGGCGTTGGAGGGCGGGTCGAGTTCGATGCGAATGGGAATCGCCGCCTGGGCAGGCGGCAGGTTCACTCGAACGAAGATGTAACGACCTTGGGACCAGAATGAGGTCACAGGAGGTGGTTCGAACCGAATACGGGCTTCGCCGGTGGGCTGGCCTTGCCTACCCTCAAAGTGCTCAATATAGACAATGTTGCCGTACTTGGTGAATTCGTAGTGGATATCCTGGACGCTGGTGATCGGGAGGCCTCGTAGCCTGATGCTGATCTGAGGCCACCTTCGCCAGTCTTCTTGTCCGGGGCGCTGAGCAGGTGCTGAAATGCCCGAGCGCTGTCGATGATGCGTCTGTCTTGCTTCACGCGGAGTCTTTGACACCTTCGAGGGCGGCGTGCCACTAGCTTGCTTATTGGGAGACTGCATCTTGACGTGAGAAATGTCAGCCAGCCATCAAGCACCTGGGTCAGTTGGTGCTGGCTAAGGGAAGAGAGCTGTGTTGAATTCAGCCGTTGGCCAAGAAGAGGCAGGGCAGATGTTAAGGATTTTGCTTGGAGTAGAGGGCAGCAGGGAAAGAGTTGATGGCGGTTCTCTGTGATTCACTTTCTCTCCAAGAGGAAGGAAGAAAGAGATAGTGACATGAGAGAACCAAGGCAAACACAACGGGAAAGAAGCTTTAAAAGATCACTACAGGCGAGACTGTTGTTCGAGAGGCAAACCACGTTTACCTTCTTCCATTGATAAGAGATAATACTCATGTGTTTGCCTGCCGCTGCTGGACGGGGCATCCGAACTGTGGCTGTCAGCGCCTGTCGGAGCTCAAAGTAGTTGGTATCGGTCTCTCCCAAGCGTCCCATTCACTTGTTGCAGGCAAGGCAAGGTACCTCACCTACCTAGGTATAGGAGGAAGTGACATACAAGAGCTGGTGGCGGTCGGTGGCTCATCGACTGCCAGTCTTGCTTGCGTCCCCTTCCATCCTTTCACCATGTACGCATCCCTAACATTTTCAACACTTGGCATGCACCGAACGCCAGACCGCAACACTTTGACAATGGAAACCAGCAAGCCGCTTTTTGAGACCCCTACAATGCTCCTCCCTACCTGACCACCTCCCATTCTCTGTGCGTTCCGCTGCCAAGATGCAAAATGGACCTAATGATCGGCGGACAGTATAAATGATGTCTGACAAGACAGAAGAGGACCCACCAACAACGATTACTCCTCTGCTGAAGCCGTGCAAGAGCCAAATGGTCAAGCAGCGACAGACCAGACTCGCGCGTCCTCCATGCTTTGCCTCTGCCCCTCGACACTTCAAGGGAGATCCATAATCTTTCCCGGATTCATGATCCACAGGGGGTCCAGTGCCCACTTGATCGCCTTCATCACACCGAGCGTGTCTTTGCCCGCCTCCAGCAGCAGCGACTCCTTCTTGCCCCAGCCGATGCCGTGCTCGCCCGTACATGTGCCCTCCATGTCGAGGGCCCGCTGCACCATGTTTTTGACGCACTTTTCGACCTTTTTACGCTCGTCGGGATTCTGTGCATTGTAGATGATGCTCTCGTGGAAGTTACCGTCGCCAATGTGACCGAGGATGCTGGCGAAGAGGCCCAGGTCGTCCATTTCCTTCTTGCTCACCTCGATGAGCTCGCCGAGGCGACTAAACGGGACGGCCACATCAGTACTCCCTGTTCAGTATGATTAGTCTCGTAAAGCTATACCCGCCAGGTTACGAAAAGGCAAACGAGGACCGGGTCAGGCTGGTGGCCAAGGCGGGAATAATGACGGCGGGGCGACTCACAAACTTCCTCGCCGTTCCGACGCAACGCAAGCATCGACCAGAGCGACTCCTTACGCGCTGACCACAGGAGCTTCTGCTCGCGCTCGTCCTTTGCAAACTCAAAGTGGCCGCCAGAATGCGCGCGCGTGATCCTCTGGACGAGCCCAATGTTCTCCTTGACGCCCGCCTTGGTGCCCGAGAACTTGAAGAACAGCGTCGGCAGCTCCTTCCAGACGCGTGGCGCCGTGGCGCCACCCATGTTGACGACCTTCATCTGCACCTCGTCCATGATCTCCATGGCGGCGACAGGAATGCCGTTCTGCATCACCTCGGCGGCGGCTGAAGCGGCGTCGCGGATGGTGGGGAACGTGACGACGGCGACCGAGAAGTCTTGCGGGATAACGGCGAGTTTGAGAGTTGCTGCAAATGGTCAGCCGGTCGGCTGCGCGAGGGGCTCAATAGGAGGACTACTCGCCTTCAGTCACCAGACCCAGCGTGCCCTCGGACCCGACGAAGAGGCCGTTGAGGTTGTAGCCCGCGGATGATTTCCTTGGCCGTCTCCTTGTCTTGATGACCGTGCCGTCGGCTAGGACGACCGTCAGGTTGATCACCCAGTCCTTCATGGTGCCGTACTTGACGGCGTTCGTTCCAGAGCAGTTGGTCCCAATCATGCCGCCAATCTTGGCGCTCGGGCCTGTCCTCACTTTCAGTAGCCATTCGAACATGAGTTTCTTTACAAGACCTACCAGGATCGATGGGGAAGAAGAGCCCGCTGCTCTGCTTGGCAAGCTGCTCATTGAGATCCTGCCAGCCGATGCTGGGCTGAACGACAATGTCCATGTCCTCCTTGTTGAATTTGATAATCTTATCCATGTAGGCAAAATCAACGCTTATACCGCCAAAGGGAGCAGAAAAGTTACCCTCTAGGCTGGAGCCGCCTGAGTAAGGGATGATGGGGATGCGGTACTTGTTACAGATGCGCGCAATGGCCGAAACCTGCTCCGTCGACCGAGGGTAAGCGACGGCGACCGGGAGTCCTTCAGGGTTGGTCGATGACCACTCTGAATATCCGTGAGCATGGAGATCCTCGGGATCGGTTGAGATGATGTCCTCTTGGCCCAGCGAGTTCTCGATTTCCTTCAATGCCTGTGTCACTGCATCAGCCATCCTTGCTCGGTCACGGTCTGTAGGGGTTGGGCGGCACCTACACGTTCCATCTGAGACATGTTCGCATACTGCGGCTGGCGGCCTGGCTTGCCATCCAGCAGCGTCGGGCCTCGACCCGAGGTCAAGAGCGACGTGCCCCAAGCTCCCTCTTGGCGAGTACTCGCCAGCGCCCAACCGATGGTGCCCGCCGCAGCGGCGAGAGCAAGGACGGATCGTGTGTTCCATCCTCGGTGTTCGGAGCTGTGCTCAGAGCCCTGGTGCTGCTCTGCGCGACGTGCAGAAGTGGTGGTGAGAGTCCGTTGACAGGACAGCACTGTGGCACGCCCAGCAAGTAGAGGGCGGCTCATGCCGGCCCCTCGAAGGAGGGGCCTGGCGCCAAAGCTGGCCGACATGCAGAAGGCTGCGCGGTGCATCTACACACACTCACTCACGCTCACACACACATGAAATCCGGTCCGGAGTCGGTGCAAGACGTTGGTGCGGAGTAACCGCCGTGCCGGAGATCGGCCCTGACTGAACCCGATGAGGGTGACACGCTTTGGTTGGCGATGGCCCGGAATGCGGCGATTAAAACTCGCAACTCCTGCAGAACGGGTGCAGTGCGTAGGTGCGTGGGACTGCTGCTGGCAGTTCCGAGGTCAAGGGTTCTTCTTCTTGCTCACCAGCCGGGAACGCAACAACTTCGGAGACAGGCCGACTGGAACAGAGAGAGGAGAAGGGGGGGTGGGATCCGTTGTGCTTATAAGGTGGTCCAACGGAGAGACAGTCTGTGCCTCTAGGTGGTGCTGTGGGAGGAGTGTACTCTCGCTGGTGTCGTGATCAACTTATCCAGGGATTTAAGACCCCGTTAGTTGTCATCAATCGCCAATAGCGAACAAGGTACGGCGGCCAGCAGGTGAAGCTAGCTGGGAGCCTTTAAATGCTGGGGCTCGGTGGAGATGGAGCGCAGTGAGACGATGGGGTCATCCTTGTCATGCTCGACCCTGCTAGGTGTGATCCTCTCTGGTGGGGGAGAGCGGAGAAAGTCGAGAAGGGGAAAAAAGGCTTAGGGTGATGGGGGTGGAGGATGTCAGGATGGGGGTTCTTTCGAGCCTGAGAGTCAACTGACGGCGGCTGAATATAGATGCAATATGTCTCCCGTGTCTCTATTTGACTGAACGTCTGAGTAAGACCGAATGGAACGAAGGCAGCAAGCGAGCTCTGGACGGGGGAGGAATCAGCAGGTGACATTGGAGTGCTTTGAGGGCACTGGTTCGGTTCCTCTTTGGGCGCGGGTTGCAGGACGAACAGTGTGGGTTTAGAAGACTTGCTGGTCTCGTGGCCCCCTCCGCCCCTCCCCAACCTCAGGGGTAGGTAGGACTCGGCAAGTGGGCTGCGCACTTCTAGATGCTTTCCGAGTGACATGATCGCATAGTGACCGAGGAAGAAAGTTCCGGCCAAGTAAGGTGACAGAGGCCGAATGCACGGCGCAAGACATCGATACCGCCAAGGGGGTGGTGGGCCCGGATGAGGGATCGTGTGGGGGTTGGTGTCTTGAGCTCTCCAAGGGGGAGGGTGTTTCCGTCTAGTGGCTGATTAGTAGGAAGAACCCCGATTCTTACGCATGCTTCTTACATCATGAGTAGGGGGAGGTGGGAGGGGAAAAGAGAGAGAGAGAGAGGTCTCGTGAAGTCTTTCTCCTTTCGTCGTCGTTGTGCTTCCAACCAACTAAAGGCACGTATGCGATCATGCACAGCGCAGGCGGCCTTGCTCTGCGAGCCTCGTGCCCGATGTCGTCCTGTTGTGTGCGGCCGCCAGGGCGACGTTGACTCGTCCGGGGTTTCGTAATGAAAATGCCCGATGGGTTCCCCGACAGACATGGATGGCGCCGTACCATGGTGCACGGGGTGGACGCTGTGCGGGATGGTAGGTCGGGGCGGCCTAAGCATCGGACCAGGCAGGCCTGCGAGCTGGGTAGGCGTGAGGTCTCAGAGGCTCCGGTCCAACATGCAGCTTTCCGACGACATGGGTCCGGCGTAGTAGTTGGGGCGCCCTCGTTCCCGTGTCGTGTCTGGGGCGTGTTAGACCTGGAGAAGATTGTATGGAGTTCGATTCGTTGACAGTGGTTCCGTCTGGCCCAGACTCGTCGTCTGCTTTGCTTTGCCATGATTGCTTTTGGTAGGCAGCCACCATGCGAGGCGACTGCAGGTTGCGTTCCCCATACTCGTCGACGCGGAGAATGCATGTTGGGTTTCCAGAGGCTGTCTGTCAGTGCACCTCCAGGTTGGTGACGATCACGAGGGACAGAGGAGGGTACGGCAGTATAACGGCCATATCCTGCCCCCAAGAGCTGTCGGCGGCCTACCATGGGTGTCTCGGCATGTCCATTGAGTTTGATGGTGCCTCCTACCCACGTCAATGGGTGGCCCATTCGGATCGTAGCCAGACTTGTTGCATCTCGGTACGTGTGCCGCGGGACATGATCATCAGATGTGGTGCCGAGGAAGCAGCTGCAGTTGTGAGTGTTGGGCTGTTGGGAGGAGAGGACCTGACCGAGGTGGAGAGGAGAACCAGGTAGCGGCACGGCATGTGTGGCTGCGCTCATGGCCTTGTGTTGAGCCACTGGATGGTGGGTAACTCAGGTACCTACCTTAGTGAGCGAGTCCCCTGTGGCCGACTGCGCGTCGCCTGTAGCAGCCGTGGTCGGTCCTGTTGTGCTTCACTCGTCTTCCGTCGGAAGTCTCCCGCCCACCAACAGCCCCACCAACAGCAACAAAAGGCCATTCCGAGGTTCCCGAATGGAGAGATACAGATTGTCATGGTATGCCCACCGGCTACATGGCTCCAGTCGCACTGACGGTTGCATTTCGCGGGGTTGGTCGCACCCAGAGCCAGCCTCTCTCTGTCCTTCTCTGTCCTGACCGTCCCTGTTGCAGAGTGCAACGAGCATGTCCAATACCTGACGGCAAAAGACAGCTCAACCGTCTCACACCGCCTCACCACCTGCAGCGGCTGATCACCGTCTCGCCTCGTCACCCCAGCTGGGCAGGTTGTGACACGACGCAGCCCTTCGGGCAGAAGCTGCTGCAGCCAAGTGACGCGGCGCGGGCAAGGCCAAGCGCGCGACGGCACACGAATAGCATGCGCTGCATGCTGGCGAGGCGATCTGCATTTCATGGCCGGCATTCCGTGGTCAGCGTCGTTGCGGCCGAAGTCTGCGACTTGTCAGCTCGTATGATGGAGAGAGTTGTATTCGATGGGTGCATGGCAAAGGCTTGCGAGATGTTGTCCTCACACTTTGAACCACCTGGTACTTACTAACCTTACCTTGCCTTGCCTACCTAAGTAGGTACCTTAGGTACGTTCCTTACTCTACCAGGCCTGCCAGGCAGAGGCCGCAGATGTCACCTCCCAGGCCTCGAGCCTACAGCGAACACTGAGGCCTAGGCTCCAGTCGAACGCCTTTGCGCTCCCTGTGCGAAAGCCCCGGACCCTGGAAGACATGTCCCAATAGAGCTGTCCTCAATCGGGCAGGTCGGCGAATTCGCACCTGAGATTGGACAGCGCCTAGGTGCCAGGCCTGGCCATCCAGAGAAAAATGGGTCGATCGTAGGGTGCGATTGACATGATGGAGCTAGACGTGCACTTTATGCTGGATTAGGAATTTCCGTCATGGTCTGCAGTCAGATGCGTTAGTCAACGACAGCGTTCCGAAGGCCGCCTCCTGTACCCTTTGACGCAGTGTGTAGTTTCGCTATAGGCGATGACAGTCGTTGTATTAGGCACACGTGTGTTTGGCACTCGAGTGCCGAGCTGACCTGCGAACCAAAAAAGAAAAGAAAAAAGGAAAAATAACAAAAAGTTTGACAGAATCATCTCTATTTTGTCTATAGCCATACATATACCTCTATCCACTAATCTAAACTCTACGACAGGCCACGCAGCCATTCCTCTTTCCTCCAACCTCAAATGTGTCCCCTCACAACTTCTTCAGCATGATGCGGTCCATCTGGATATCTCCCCCAACGTTAAACTCATGCGCGCCGACCACGCTGAACCCGAGCTTGGCATACACCTGCGCAGCCTTGTGGTTCTCCTCCCAGACCCCGAGCCACATGTGTTCGAACCCTTGCTCCCGCGCCTGCCTCTGCGCCTCGTGGATGAGCAGCTTGCCGACACCCTGGCCGTGGTGCGCCGCCGAGACATAGATGCGCTGCAGCTCAATCTTGGAGGCCACATCGTCGACGCACGGCTCGCTGCCGCCGCGCGTCAGGAGGACGAAGCCGATGATCGTCGTGTTGTCGCCGTCCGCCGCCACGGCCACTGTCATGTCTTTTTGTGTGTCTTCAATGTCCCGCGCCGTCGCCGCGACGCTGTACGACTCATCTAGGTAGGCTTGGAGCTGCTGCGGCGTGACCGAGTGGCCAAATGTGGCGCTGAACACAGAGGACCCCAGCGCGGACACTGCTTCGGCGTCTTGCAAGGTGGCCCGACGAAGGGTTGGGGCGGGTGTTGTGTTGGTGGCGGAAGACATGTTCTGTGTGGAGAATGAAGATGTTTGTTGCTGAGGGCGGAGGAGAGAATAAGAGAGAGG